CTATTTATCACCCTACTGCTTGGGTTACATATAACATTAATCAGTTGGCTATTTATCACCCTACCGCTTGGGTTACATATAACATTAATCAGTTGACTATTTATCAGCCTACCGCTTGGGTTACATATAACACTAATCTGTTGATTATTTGTCAGACTACTGCTTGGGTTACATCTAACACTACTCAATTGACTATTTATCAGACTACTGCTTGGGTTACATCTAACACTACTCAATTGACTATTTATCAGACTACTGCTTGGGTTATATATAACACTACTCAATTGACTATTTATCAGACTACACCTTGGGTTACATATAACATTAATCAGTTGATTATTTGTCAACCTACTGCTTGGGTTACATATAACATTAATCACTTGACTATTTATCAGCCTATCGCTTGGGTTACATCTAACACTACTCAATTGACTATTTATCAGACTACCGCTTGGGTTACATATAACACTAATCAGTTGACTATTTGTCACCATACACCTTGGGTTACATAGAACACTAATCAGTTGAATATTTATCAACCTACTGCTTGGGTTACATATATTGAGTTGCATGGCATGGTTTGGTTAGGGCGGTCGACTCGAAATCTACGGGTCTCAGGTTTGAATCCCATCACCGTGGGGGCGTTATAATGTGATGGTGAATCACACTTTTCGTTAGTAAAAAGTAATTCAAGATTTGGCGGTGGGTGATGTTGAATAGCTGCCTTCCGTCTAGTCTATCATTTCTAAATTACGGACAGCTAGTGCAGATAATCCTCGAGAAGCTTTTGGCGAATTAAAAAACAAACAATACATATATTAGATTACTGTTTACATGAAGTAACAATAAAATAATAACAATTTCTATGAAGAAGTTTAGAACTTTTGTTAAAAACAAGTTGGATAGTTAATATAGTAGTTAAACAAACTGGACATCACGTCATCGTTGGCCACAAGTTGATAATAACACACGTGAAATGTCCTTAATTATAGGTAATTGTTTTTTATTACTTACCGATCTTTAGTTTGTGTCTTCAATCGACACATAATTTGTAGTTCGTTTTTTTTTGTTTGTTTTGTACTGTAGCATTTTATAAACGTTTCGTCAGTCTACATAAATTCACACTATCTGTTATTACGGTAATCAACCAATGTTATGCTAATACTGAATATCAATGAATCAATTTACTTGGCAGATATTTTGATTTTAGATCGTTCGGTCCTCGCAGGGGCTATTGTTTCCCTTCTCCCCACACGTGCTTGACTACACAGGTCTGCGATGGTTTTATTAGTCTTGAAATTGTTACATGTTATACGCTGAATCCGAAAATGATCTCCATTCTTCTTCATCGCGTACAGATTTTTCACAAAACGTCATATGTACTTTTACATAAGGGAATCATTTTCATTGACATTGGGTGACATTTTTTTTAATGCTTTGTTTGTTTGTAATTAAGCACAAAGCTACACAATGGGCTATCTGTGCTCTGCCCACCACGGGTATAGAAACCCAGATTCTAGCGTTGTAAGTTCACAGACATTCCGCTGTGCCACTGGGGGGGTGGGGGTATTGTTGTGCTTAAAATGTTGACAACCACTGGCTATAGATTTCTCTAGACCAATAGCGACGTGACAGTCTTATTGATCGTTCTAGAACCCGAACGTAACGAACATAGTAATAATAAAATGTTCATTATGGTAAAGGAAATAATAATTTGATCTAAGTAAGAGTTTTTTTTTATTCCGATTTGTAAAAAAATTAAAAAAAATTCTTACGCGATTGAAAAAAAATATATTATTTTCGAAATCTGCGTAGCTGAATTATGGAAAATCCGTTATTAAAACCAAAACAACTTTTATGATGTTTAAATTCGCAGGCTTGTGTTATTATGCAATAGCTGTGTTTAGAGGCTAAGGGCCGAATGTAATTAAATTTTAGCTAATATAATAATGTGATTTAGTTTCTAAATTTTAATGATTTAAACGTTGGCTTGCGCGGGTATTTTCGGTTGGCACCATCCTAAGGCAATCGGGAAGTCAAGCTGGAGTGTCTGAAGACCGGAAATTGTGCAGGTGACGGCAAGTTCGGTCATTAGATGGTGACGGTATCCAGGATTCCAAGAAAGTAAACCAAAGCCACGTCCAAGAAAAACTTCTAAATTATTGGCGCTTTTTTGTTTTTGACAAAATGTATATAAATATTAAATAATTGAGAATATGACTGGAATACATCTCATATAAGTTCCACCCGTCAAGGTGTTCTAACATATTTTATCATTGGGCAGGTTTTATTGGATTATTTGGTAAACATAACGCGATGTACGGTCCACGTACTTATAATGAATTAACATATTTCTTCAATAACGTTTGCTACAGCTACAGGCTACGTTCACTGATAAAGCCTAACCTCACAAACAACGTTTCAACAGAAATTCCGAAACTAATCTAAGCCTAACTCACAAATAATTTTAAATGTAGAATTACCTTACTAATCAGTTGATACCAAACGCACTGAATGACTCACTTTTTAGCTCGCTTACTGAATCACTGTTTAACTTTAACAAAACCTTAATTATTGATTTTGTTAATTATATACAATCTAGCTTCCAGGTTCTACCGAGGCTTAATATTGCATCATCGTAATGTAATGATAGGTTCCCTCTAGCAAATAAACATTTACATTAAATATTAAAAATATAGCTTATAATACTGCCCCCTTCCTGAATCGTGAAGTCCCTTGAACAATCCTAATGCACAAATAAACAGTACAGGTAATTTCTGTGGGGATTTGAGTCCGTTTAGTTACCATATAATAATCTAAATCAATTTCAGTATGTTAATAATGTTACGACATTTTGTCGAATTCATTATTCAATATTATGCAGCGGACTAACTGTTTAATTATTGAATATAAAGTGTTAATGATTTCTTTTCTTTTTCGCCAAAGGTGAAATTGAAAAGAAAAACTTTGACGTAGAGGCCTTATTGCATTCCTTGATTGGCCGCACCCTCTGCTGAGGACTGCAGTTTCGCTTATTCAGCTGTGCTGATGAGCCTTGAACAGGCGAAATTGCAGTCCACAGCAATCAGGGAATGTATTAGGCCTCTACGTCACATATTCTCATTTCAATTTCACCTTTGGTGGAAAAGAAATCTTTAACACATATATACAATCGAAACAGACAATTTTTATAATTATAATTTCATAATTCGTGATTATAATACGCGTAGCATATAGTGACACATAAAACATTCCTGTTGCTGCTCTCCCAATTTAAGTAAAGTATTTTAAGTGTATTACATTCAACTTCCCCAAAACTGAAGTACGTTTTCACAGAAACTGCTGTTTATAATACAAAATGTACTCACCGATTCACCTTTAGACGTGAAGTCTATTATAAGTGACTCATTACAACTTAAGTGACTCTTTCGAGTGCAATACTCACTAAATCATCTCTTACTCTAGGAGCAGAGATCCATGAATCAACTCAATCTTCTCGGCTCATCCTCGCACTCTGGTTCCTGGCAACTCTCGTGTTTATTTGTTGTATGAATGGTTTAATCATTTCAACAGTGGCTGTTGAAAGAACCTATTTTTCTCTCGCTGATCTTCTTAAGAACAGCGATTTGGAACCGCTCGTGCCACGTTATTCTCTTATAGAAGAACATTTTTGGGTAAGAAGGGTTTCCGTTTGCTACAGACGTGGAGCAATTAATTGTTTTTCTGTTTTTTTATTAGCAGCACCTTCAGTTTAAGTTGACTTGCTATAAATCAAATGATAGTGGTCATTCAAAGCGAACTTCGTTTCTTTAGTAAATTAATGATTAGAATCATTAGTTTCTGTTACTACTTTTCGGATTGCCGTGCTTTAGTGGATATTTAAAGTAGTCCCAATAAAGGCTCTGATGCACTGAAAATAAAATCAGATAAAGTAAATTATCAACACCAAAGAGAAACTTCGACATACCACGTTTCAGGCGAACACTTCTTTCTAGGTATAGAAAAACAACCTGATCCTGTTCAGGCCTTGTGAGGAACCTTTCACTGAAACGACACCTGTAAAAATATTTCGTTAATGTTGTTTAATTTCTTTGACTTTTTTTTAGTGGACTCTTTGCCTGTTTTTTAAAAAAAGGTAACTTATTTAATATATGCTATTATTATCGTATTCTTTGTCACGTTAACATTCGTATCTCCAGTTTGTGAATATTAATCTATTACACTATATACAACACTCTAATAAGTTATCCACTTAAGATGTTCTAGAACATTACCATTTACTTCCCTGAAATACGAGTTTAGAGAGAGAATTTTGAGATTGCAGAATATATATTAGCAGTGGGACTTAATGGTATTGTATTCTTCACGTGTAATAACTCGCAGAACACGTGTTAGCAGATGGACTTGGTGGTATTGTTTTCTTTAGGTGTAGTAACAACCGTTTGGAGTTAAACAATAAAGACCAGCTTTGTAAAACACAAAGCCATGTTTTTCTTTTAATAACAGATTTTGTATTAGTCAGTTTCTTTCATCAGACTTGATAGTGAGCATTAATTGGAAAGAAAACACTTGGTGTATACTTACAAAATGAATGTTTGTTGGCTTAGGCTCCATGACATTGGTATTTATATTTGAGGCCTAAAGCTTGAAATAAACCCAGAAATTATTAGTATAGAAGAAATATGCTGGCTTTTCAGATTTTGTTCAACCCAACTTTCAGGTCTGATTTGATTTACTGGAAGAGATTCCCTTAAACATTCTGCATTATGTTGTAAACACAAACTGTGGCAGCAGTTTATTTTTTTGTGAACCTCTGAATAATACAATTTTCAGAAAAGTAAAAAGAAAAAAACACAAAGATGTGTAATTATGTCATTGTGTGATATCTTGTCAGAAGCTGTGTGACACATCATTAAGTAGTAATATCCTATAAGAAGCTGTTTAACACAATATTAAATAGTAATATCCAATGAGAAGCTTCATAACACATCATTCAATAGTAATATCCAATCAGAAGCTGTGTAACATATAATTAAATAGTAATATCCAACGAGAAGCTATATAACACATCATTCAATAGTAATATCCAATCAGAAACTGAGTGACATATCATTCTCTCTTAGCATAAAAGCATTTCCTAAACTTTTAAATATCACATACCTTATTAAACCTTGCAGGTATGTACATGTATGTAGTTAATCAGGTATTACAAGAAGCGGAATACTACCTGTAATATGGGACAACCTATTTCTGCTTTGAAATGTTAAAAATTATGTACACATTCTGCCATGAAGAAATAGTTGAATTCAATATATAATGTTTAGAAAACGGTTTGGTACTCTTAACTAACATAATCTAAAGAAGAAATGTACCCATTTTAATGTACATTGAATGTTGGTGATTGGTGTAGCTTTTCTTTCTTACCCATTCTACTGTACACTGAATGTTGGTGATTGGTGTAACATTCCTTTCTTACC